TAGTATTTTGTTTTTATTAGTAATGTAAAAGGGGAATGGGACAGAAACTTGATGAGTGGCTGACTCAAGCTCATATTTCCCACATGAGCACCATTGAGTCTAGGCATATGCACAAACCACTGGGTCAAGTCTCCAACATGATCTGCATTAAAACATCACATTATAGCAAATAATCACACTCTTCACTCTCTCCTGTTCCAGGCTCCTATTCCAAAGAGCGTCCTGATCTCTATTCCCATCTCCAAGTCCTCCGTCTCTCGTTTCCGGAACAGCGTGGAAGGGCTGAATCAGGAGATCGAGCGCATCATTGTCCGAGACACAGGAGATAGAGAGGAGCAGCTTATTGTTAGTGTACCTGAAATGATGCTGCAAAAACACATAATCTGGGGTCCTCACAGAATCCCTAAAGACACTGAGTGTGTGTATAACTGAAGTTTTGTTTCTGTGTTCTGTTGTGTATGATCGTTGCACTTTTTCCTCTGGCCAGCCTCAGGAGGCTCCGGATGGGCATCGGGCTCCTCCTCCTCTCTGCCAACGCAGCGCCAGCTCCCGCAGCATTGACACACAGACGCCCCTGGGCACCGCAGCGGGCAGTAACCACAGCAACAGCAGCAGCCGCTCTCAGTCCATCTCACCCACGTTCCTGAACGTGCCAAGTGAGCCCTGCAGCGATAGTCCATCTCCCCACGAGGACGAGACTCTGGCTGACGGCCGTGAGAAAGGTACAGCTCACATATTTTTCACACCTACATACACACTCAGGGCTGTTCACACGTCCTGGGGCCCACACAGAAACTGCACATGCATTTTCTGCATTGATTGTGTGAAAATGTGCTGGATGGATTTAAACATGGTCAGATTTGTTATATGGGGCTGACGGTGCTATACTTTCATTAGTAGCTGTAATTAAATAACTGATTGATCATCCAAAAACCAAGTAGTTTTTTTTTTAGATTTTATTTTACAATGTTTGGTTTAGATTTAATAATAAAAATAATAATATTTTAGCATTTTGCACATTTTTATAAGGGATTAATTTAAAGGCAGGTTGTTTGACTGTCTGTCATCCATACGTCTCCATTTTTTGTGAGGATTATGCTAGTTTTGTGCAATAAAAGGTTAAGGTAATATTAATTCTACAAATTTGTTGAGTATATGTCAGATACCCTATTGAAGAACTGTGCAATCTGCTTAATTTTTTCGGCTAATATTTATATTTTATTTCAACTTTATTTCAATGAATGATATTTTTAAATAGTTTTAGTTAACAATAACAACAGTGATCTGGTGGACCGTAATTATACAGGGCTTCCTTAAGACTGACAGTCAACTAATTGTTTAGCTCTCTGTTCAATTTTGGACACGTATCATCATCTCCACTAATAATCCTGTCTGAGCTGTATTGACATCCTACTCCTTTTTTGTGACATGTTCACAGATCTGGCCCCCAGCTCACCCCTACCCAAATACGCCTCATCCCCGAAGCCGAACAACAGCTACATGTTCAAACGCGAGCCGCCCGAGGGCTGTGAGCGAGTCAAGGTCTTCACAGAGGAAACCCAGTGAGTGCTGCAGTGTGTCTTGATCCACTGCTTTATCTGCTCTCTCCACACTCACTATTGTGTTGCGCCCTGAGCCTTGAAACCATGATAGCATAACATTTACACTGACTTCAAAGCTGAGTTAGAGCTTCTCACCGTCTTATCGCACTCCTCCTCCTCCTTTTTCATCTCCTCAGGGCCAGGCCTCCACGGGAGATCCCACAGTTCCTGTGCCCAGATAGGAACAAGGTCAATTTCATCCCCAAGAGCGGCTCTGCGTTCTGCCTGGTCAGCATTCCCAAACCGCTGATGCCCACACAGGAGCTCAACAACCTCAAGAACCAGAGCGCCGCCCATCTCACGCCCGAACCCGAGCCGAGAGTCTCACGAAGAACCTGCATGCTTTCCCAGCAGCCCTCAGGCTCCTCCCCCTCCTCCTGTCTGTCAGAGAGTTAGACACGCCCCTCAACCAGCGTCCCAGCAACTGCGTCTGCATACCCTGCACATTTCAATAATCGAACATGATTAAAAAAATAATAAGTGACTCTTAGAGAACAAAGCGGTTATTAATAATAGCTTTTGTTGGGTGCGAAGATGAAACGGTTGCCTTTGCTATGCACATTTTTAGCTTTGTGCTTGTTCTCAAAGAACAAAGGCCATTTTTGGGGGGTTTTGGGTTTGTGATAAACGAATTTAGCTTTGAATTATTCCTCTACCTTCCACAGATAACGAGTGAACCTGAGAATGTGTCTCAGATCGCTATGAAAATGAATCTAAATGATCTTTCTCAGTACTGAGGTGGCTGCATGGATCTGTTTTTGTGAGACAGTGTATATTTTATAATAGTTTGCAGTGGATCGCATCATTGAATACAAATGATGCCATTTCAGATGAGACCAAGAGACCTGGTAGAATGAATTCTGGGTTGATGAAGGTCTCCGGGACTGAATCGTTTTCACAGCAGCGGGCCTTCTCCGTTCAGTTCTGACAGAAGCAGCAGGGGAACAGGAGGGAACGGTTCTCTGCTTTTTCTCCTCTTCCTTTCTCACTGGTGGCGAGGAGACAGAAAGGTGCTAAAGATAAGACTAGCGAGTGTGAGAGAGAACGCCGCTTAATGGCTACAGGACGAGTGGCCTGTAAACCCGATTCTTTTGTTTGCATGGTTGTAAAATGCGTTTCAAATGCATATGGGTCCAAACTCTGAACTTCAAACCCAGCGGGGAACAAAGTGAGAGAGCGAGGGGAGGGCAAGACAGGATCTGGGTGGACAGACGCGATGTTTTCTCACCTCTCGCAATGATCCAGCCGATTTAGCTCGAGGAATGTTTGAAAGAAGGACACGACAAGTACAAAATCAAACTGCGAAAATGTAACGCATAAATGTCCAGGTAGTTCACAATTCAGATGTCTATCAAAACATTCATGGAATATTTTCTATGATATCCAATGAAATAGTTTACAAAGTCAGAGCACAATATTTTCATTAGATTGATTTAATGCATGCATTCTGGGAAATTTCAGTCTGTGTGTGTATGTATGCGTGTGTGTGTGTGTGTGTTTCACTAGATTCAAGCAATTAAAAACCACAGATTTTCTCTCCGTTTCAGTGTCTAAATGCCATTTTCATCATGGAGCAGACTTTTCCAAATCTTCCTTATTGAGCATCTAAGGCTGATTTCCTAGTATGCTGTAGTTGTTTTTATCGTTATTTTGTATGAACTCAAGTAGTGTCTGATGAAAGATTATCATTTTATGCAGCTCACGCAAGTGCTTCTGTAGACTTGGCCAAAGAGAACATTTCCTGTGGCTCAGTGACAGCTATTGTAGATGGAATTATTAGGCGACTTAAAGGAACAGTTCACCCAAAATTGTATGTTTTCCCATCTTCTGTGGAACATATAAGAAGATATTTTGAGAATTCATTTTTTTTTTGACTGAACTATCCCTTTAATGGACAACAGTAGTACTAATTGAACGTTGTGTCATTCACTTCCAGGAGTAATTTAGGATTTTCAGCTCAAAGATCAGAAGTGCTGTGGGAAGGTTGTCCGCTTGCAGTGCGTTTGTGCTTTGTGTGCAGGGTGGGGTTCCTCACAGTTGTTTTGTTGGGAGGCATTTTAGCAGTGTTCCTGTTTTTTCTTGTTCACTCTTGTAGTTAAGGTATTGTTTTGAGCTTTAAACAACATACAACATGAACCTGGAATACTTTAGCACTTTTATACCAGCATTGTGAATCGGTACGGGACCTCTGTGTTTGACCTGAAATAATCTCATAGCCTGTGATTACTATCGTAGATCAGTACTCAGAAATGTAAAAGCAGCAATCTCTTCTGGCAACGGCACAAGAATCCAAACATTTCTTGCTCAAAAACAAATTGATAACGTTTTATCAAGCGCTTTGTATATCTCCTTAGGATATGTATTGAAGTAGAGAACTCTTTCGCTGTAGGGCCAATATTAATATACTTTTATATGGGTAGTGGCCTACTCTTTGTAATCAGAGCGGAATATCAGTCAGATATGAATAATCCATATGTACAACTTCTTAACGCGGGGACAGTGATGTATAATGGTATACTGTGTTGGATGCTGTCTGTCTCAGTGGATGTTAGTCTCTTGTGTATGGAACTCAACAGAATAAAATTGCACTCGCTCTAAACGTCTGAGGGTGTTATTTGATGTGCGAGTTGAGTTTGGGGTTAACCGTTTTTCCAGTAATAAGATGTCTTTGTTGGATGATGTGAAGTATGATTATTAGTTGGTGCTGGTATCAAAGAGAACCCAGGAATATTAAACAAAGCCTTCCAAGTGTCATTAGAAATGTGTTTCATCACTTGCTGAGAACAAAAATGTGGAGTAATGAAAATATTTGTATTTTGGCACTAGACTTCTAACATGTGTTTCGGATGCTTTCACACACACCACCTAGTGGTAATCATGTTGTAAGAATGTGTGTCCTCACATGATGGACACAAATCAAGAGTTGCACTTTACATACAGAACTATAACAATTTTTTCCCCATTTGATTAAATGACTGGTAATATAAAGCTGAAATTCATGTGAAGGTACTTAAGCATTGTAATGAATCATAATCACTCTCACAATTTTTTCCCCTCTGATTACACTACTGCTTAAAAGTTTGAGCTAGGTAAGTTTTTGGTGAAAGTAATGAATATTGTTTTCAGCAAGGACACATTAAATTAATCAAAATGTATCAAATAAACAGCCTTGGTGAGCAAAGGAGACATTAAAAAACATCTTTCAAACATAGGGGGGGAAAACAAAAATAAATTGTACTCACCCCAAACTTCTGGAACAGTAGTATATTTCTGTCAGGACCACTATCGTCAAAGATGATTGACAATTAGCATACAGTTTGGATTGGCGGTATGGTTCTGTTCTGGGCAAGAACTCCCTGCGCATCCATGCAGCCTAGCATGGATGAGAACAGGGAGAGCAGCGATGGAGGAGGAACTGGGGATGGAGGAGGGTAATTAGCTATTGAGCAATGTGAACACTGCTAATAATACTGAGGGACTTTATATATGAATGCTTAGATAGGTGTTGTATTCCTATAGGTAGATGGGGATCAGCTGAGAGTCAGCTGATGCGAGCTTGACTAACGTGACCTGCCAGAACTAACGCTACGCTTGATGTGTATCAAATCGGTAAACACTGCACTATTTCAACCAAACTGCTAGGGAAAGATAAAAAAAAATTCTAAAAGATGTTGCCAATGGTTGATTATTCACCATAATTATAAGAACAAATATAAGTATATTTACATACAATCTCAAAAGTGTTAAAAATTTTGAATTTACTGTACATTTAAATCTAAAATCACAAATAGAATCACTCGACATTTCTAATTTCAATCCGGGCCACTTTCACATGTGGACTGTAATCAGTAGTTAAAGTCATCTCATAGTGATCACCTTCATCCACTGATACTAATACCACAGGCTGATGAACGAATCTCCTGTGGAGTTCATGAGTGAACGCATCAGTGTGAGAGTGATATGGAGCTGTGGCTCAAGCGTGCGTGCTCTAGTGTGTGTAATAAGTGTAGCTGAAAGGTGTTTGAAATGGTTCAGTCATGCACTGACACCCCACTCCCTCCCTCCCTCTCTTTTTTGTAAGGTCTTTTGTGAATGTAGGGGCAAAAATGTTCACACGGAGGGCAGTCCAAACAGGGGCTTTTTCCCCAGTGACTCCGTGCCCACCTCATCCCCCGCCAGAGACAGGGACATTACACAGCACTATTTCAGGTCACACACAGACATCAATCCCACAATGCATCAGCACCTCATTGCCTCATGTTGCACCCCACAGACACATAAAGAACCATGAGAAATTACGTAGTACACTGTAAAATAAATAAATACAGCAGGCTGTGGTTGCCAGAACTTTACCATAAAAACTGCGGTTGCAAGGATAAGCGGGAATATCAATTTACAGCTTTTCCACAGTGTATTATAAAATGACTTATTTTTCACTTCCAAAAACTGTATTTTGCTGTAAAACTACAGGAAATTTCCTTTTAAATGAAAACTTACTACTAATCAATTAGCAGGTTTTTTCCCCCTAGAATTTTTATCCCTTATGAAAAATAACCATGGTTTTACTACAAACAAAACCAAAAAACCATGGTTACTGTAGTTAAACCATGGTAACACTATATTTTCACAATTTTGGGGGGATTAAAATGTTGTATAAAATCAAGCAAATTATATATGAACAAATATCTCTGTAAAAACCTTCAGGATATAGACAGGAATAAAAATGTAAGGTTTGGAGATTTATGGCTCAGTGTAGGAGAAAAAACTAATTTAGAGAAAACGGCCTTTAAAAATATGTATTGTAATTTAAATCTATTGACACAAATAGATAAAGTGCTATAAAAGAAACACTTAACAGTGTCTTTTGGATGTTTTCTTTCCACTAGTCTGAAAAAACACTATGAAAAACCAAAAAGCCCAAAATCTCAAACTTGACAGGTGCATTAAAAAACAGTTTTTGCCTGCAGTGTAGCTGAATCATGCTACTTGTAGTAATGGTACTCTTAATCATGGTACTTGTAGTAAAACTGTGGTTATACAAATGGTAATCAATACGCCAAAAAACCATGGTTACTATACTTTTACTACAATAAAACCATGGTTAATTTTCGTAAGGGATGGTCTTTTAGCGTTACTTATTATTACTTGTTTTTATTAATGCATAGGCTGTTGATGGTCTTATAGGCAGACGTCTGGCACTCTTTTGTCATTTCAAACTTTATTTGAAAGTAAAATAGGAGAGAGTGGCTGAAAGAAGCTTGTCCGAGGGGAGCCCACATAATTGGACGTGGCGTGTGCTACAGCCTCGCAGGGAGTTTCTGACTGAATGCACTGAGAAATATGACATATTTTCAGTGTGCATTCATTGTATATAAGTCTGTGAATGCATCTCAGTGCCGGATCTTTTCTGAACAAACAGCAAATTGTTCTCCCGGTGAGTCTGTTTCTCCGTTCTTGAGCTCAAAATGAGTCTGCTGACATGTTCCATCAAAACCTCAGTGTGAGACTCTGAGGCTGAGTGTGAGCCAGCCGGTGGGACTCCCCTCTGAGGCCCCGGGGACGCTCGGCCTCTAATCTCACTCCCAGCCTGGGATCACAGCAGAGGTGTAAAGTATTGGAGTAAATGTAATTAGTTACTCACAGGCCCAGATTCCTCACGTTTTCTCATTGTTACAGGCTCAGCTCAAACACTGTCCTGTTAGTTTAAACCTAACAAAGGATCAGCTGCTTCAACACAGTCATACAGAATCCTCCAGGTCTGTGACAGCCATAGATCTGTTCCTGTTTGGTTTTTCCAGAGGAATGCCGAGAGACGACGTTGCTGTGCGTTACATTTGAGAACTGTTATTTAAGTCGTCCACTTATTCAATAAAATGCTAGATTTGTTAACTTTGAGCGGTGTTTGAAGGGGGAATTCATTTTGTTTTATTAAGGCGCTACGCCCCTTACCGGTGAGACGTATGTATAACAGAAAATATGTTCTCATGAACGTCATCATGGATGGAATATAAGAAATATAATATTTATATTTCTAATATAAATATTAGAAATAATATTTCTAATAAATAATAAGTCTGGGCTTTGTGTGTTATTATTATTTAAAATTTACTTGTTCATTATCAATGTCCAAACGTACAGAAAACATTTACATATGGGGATTTATATATATTTAATACAAATAATACAGTGAAATAACATAAAGGTCAAAATTACAGTCATTTCTACATTTATAAACTTGTACCTGTCATATTTAAATGAAATATATGTGACCCTGGACCACAAAACCAGTCATAAGGGTTATAGCTGAATAAATAGATGTATGGTTTGTTAGGATAGGACAATATTTGGCCGAGATACGACTATTTGAAAATCTGGATTCTGAGGGTTCAAAAAAATCTAAATATTGAGAAAATCGCCTTTAAAGTTGGCCAAATGATGTTCTTAGCAATGCATTTTACTAATCAAAAATTAAGTTTTGATATACGGTAGGATTTTTTTTTTTAAAGCATGGAACATGATCCTTACCTAATATCCTAATGATTTTTGTCATAAAAGAAAAATCGATACAATGTATTTTTGGCTATTGCTACAAATATACCCGTGCCACTTATGACTGGTTTTGTGGTCCAGGGTCACATATAAATTTTTTCTTAAAGAATGAATTACTTTTACTATTCCCATATATTTCATTTATGATTCTTAGTTTTTTTGGTTGCAGTAAAATATTCTTATACAGTTTCAATTTGACTATTTCACTATAAATGTGCAAAACATACAAAAACATTTATTTATTATACAATTTATTTATACAAATAATACATTGAAATAACCAAAGGTCTCATTTTATTAGCAAAAGGATTAAAGAGTTATTTTCCGCATTTATAAACTTGCACTTGTCATATATAAATGAACGAAATACAATTTTATTAAAGAATGAATCATTTGCTGTTTCAAAGCACCGTTTAGAGCTCAAAGTGAAAGAAAGCGTGTGTCCTACGGAAGCCGTGAGCATTCAATCTGCAAGAGGATGATGCGCAGCTGACGCGTTTTTCGACGCGAGGAATCCTCGACGAAGACGAGGTTGAGTAGACTCGTTTTCAATTTTGCGTCCTTCCTGTATATAAAGCCTGGGCTCGACTGTATCCCGTTCATCGGGAAGCGCTGTCAGAGTGTGGTGACTCGAAAAGATGATTTCTATTCAGTCTAACTCTAGAGCTCTGTCGTTTTCTTTCTTTTATACTCTGTGTGTTTTCATGAAACTGCTGCGCTAGCGAGCACTGATCCAATATGGCGTTTGTTTTAAAATGATGTTAATTTGTCCCATTTGTATAACGTTAACGGTCTTTACTCCATAAAGCGGAATTATAGTAAGCTACATCACTCGCAAAGCATAAAAAACACTACAAATTGCTGCCTAAAATTAAATAGTAGTACGATCAATGAGTGGTTTCAAAATAATCAATGGCAGATTCACATTTTATTGCTGCTATTCATGTAATCAAAACATTGCACTTAAACTTGAAATTTGCAGAGATGGCCACTGTTATACAGAAATATAGCTTAACATATACTAAACATATTTACATAACTAAATGTGTCTAGCATTGTAGATATCTAAAGCGTTCAGTTTGACACCAGTCAAAAAAATTTTTCCTCATTACACCAAATTCACAAAAATATTACACCATATTAATAACCTAAATTCATGCAGATTTGTAGGTTATCTTTGGCTTGGGCTCTTGATTTGTATGTGTGTATGTCTGTCAGATTGAGAATAAATGGAGGAGGAAGAGAGAGATGTGGAGGATGTTCTTCAGTCTGAGAGAGAGGATGCACAGCCTGAACACATAAGAGATGGACTGGTAAGGATATGTGTAGACTAGTCAAAATTGTGTACAGCACTTAATAATCACTGAAAGACAATGTTAAATGAACACTAACACAAACAAAAATGTTGATAATTGTTTAGGACAATTGAGCACTTTTTTCCACAAATTATCATTTTCTGACATTTTACGTTTCCTATTTCCATTTTTCAGTGATGATTCTCATTAAAATCACATTGTTTTTACATTAAATGAGAATGAGAAGCTCATGCATTTTCTTTTACTCCATGCAAAGTATAATTTCTTACCAGTTTTATGACTGGGGCTTTTTTGACAGTCTTCCCAAGATATATCGTTAAATATTAAATAATGGTAAATAAATCTTACATTTACAAAATAATTGTGAATTATCAGGTGTCAGTGTTTTGTGTTCAGACCATTTGTTGTTGCACTTTGATGTTTTAGCAACATGACAAAAACTCAAAAGCTGAAGAAAATGCAGATGTACAAGAGCTTCCACCAGTCATTCCAGCCTCAGAAACTGTAGCAGCCAATCAGAAGCCTTCCACAGTCCCGACGCAAATGGACAACTTAATTATACTTGACCAAAACGGACATCCTATTCAATATGATCGGGTGGTAAGGACACTACACCGTGACCCATCACCATAACCTATATTACTCACACTAGATGACATGCATATCACCCATGATCTTGTATCAGTCACCGGATATGTCAAAATGTAAAAATTTGGGTTTGTGTTCCACCCATGAAGTCATTTAGAGTTATATATTGAACTATATATGAAAATTTTTCCCCACACCAAACACAGTTGAGTTTTTTTTCCCCCCCCAGGTGATTGTGACAGGGGGGAATGGACAATTATATGGTGTCCCATCTGTGTCTATGGGGGCCGCTCAGATGTTACTACCTCATGGTCAGCTGTTGAATGTCGCAAAGTCATCAGGTCATTGTTTAGAATATATTTAAATATACTGAATATTACTTCTGTAATTATGTACTCTATATATAATATAGTGAGAGGATTCTTTTCAGTTCTGCCATTTCTTTCTGTTTTGTTAAACAGGTGTCTTTGTGGAGAAAAGACAGCAGACAATCATCACATCCATAAAAGACAGTGATGGCACTCATAGTTTAGCTGCAGTGGCAGCTCAGAATGTCACTGGTATTAAAATTCACAGGAAAAGGTCAGTACGCCTTGTTTGCATATGATTTCTGCCACATTTTAAACCATGTTCTGGCTCAATTTAATCCTTGGTTGTAAAAAGGAAACTGCTTCAGACAGTGGAGTTCAAGCAAACTTGCAATTATTGATTGTTCTTTAAAATGTCTTCTCATGTATTTCAGTCCTCCTGATGTATTTGAGCCTCCAGTGAAGCCACTTCCGCCTGGGGCACCAACCTGGGCTCTGAGACTGCGCCGGTGTGAGGTTTGTCCTGTAGAAAATAACTAAATTAAATTATTTGACAAAACATTAACTTATGATAATGTATACAATTAAAAGTAAAGTGTAATATGCATGGAAATAGATGAAATGTTATAATTTCTGGTGTGTGTAGAGCCAGTAATTGCCCTCTGTCAAACAGATCCATTTCCAGCAACACAACACAATAATATGGCTTGTTGTTAAATCTTTTTTTTATGATCGTTTCACGACGAACAGAAGATCGGTGACTCGTACCGTGGTTACTGTAACACAGAGGCAGAGCTGGAAGCCATTCTGCTTCTACACAAGCAGCAGACCCACGCCGTGTTTGGCACCCGTCAGTCACCCTCACTGGCTAAACCTGCCACCAGACTCATGTGGAAATCACAGTATGTGCCCTACGATGGCATTCCCTTTGTTAATGCAGGTAATCTGGCCCTTTTTGCTTGTGGGATCTATGTTACGACTTTATGTTAGACCCCCCCCCTTTAAGTCTGAAAGATGTTTAGTCATGTAGTGTAAATGTTATTTTAATGCCCGAATTGTGAAAAATGAAAGGTCCATGAATTCAAAATTGGACATTATTTGGCTTTTAGTTGATGTTTGTTAACTTTGGGATCATCTGTAGGCTAGTGGTATTGGTTGACAAATGTAGCAGATAAAAATGATCGCAGATACACTACTGTTTGGGGTAAGATAAAAACATCAGCAAGGATGCATTAAATAGATCAAAAGTGACAGTAAAGACATTTTAAAAGATTTATATTTCAAATAAATGCTGGTCTTTTGAACTTTCTATTTATCAAAGAATCCTAAAGAAATATCTCACAGTTTTCACAGAAATATTAAGCAGAACAACTGCTTTAAACATCGATGATAATAATAAGAAAAGTTACTTGAGCAGCAAATCAGAATATTAGAAGGATTTCTGAAGGACACTTAAGACTGGAAGAAAAATTAATATTGTAAAATTTATTCAAATATAAAACATTTATTTTAAATTACAATAATATTTCACAATTGTACTGTTTTTACTGTATTTTTGTTCAAATAAATGCAGCCCTGGTGAGCATAACAAACATTTGAACAGTAGTTTATATGAATTTAAAATGTCTTTGGGTAAACTAATCAAATTATTTTTGATTTATCCTGCACTTGTAAATGTGTCCGGAATTTTAAAAAATCAGACTGTTTCTTGAATGCTAGTAATAGGAAGTAGAATTAGCATACTTTTATTTTTTTTAAAAGACAAACATTTTTGTTAAACCTTGATCGAATGCTGTTGTTGAAGATAATATCATAGTTTTACAATATGCTTACAAAAGTCAGTTTATCTTGATTTTTAACACGGTTTTAAGGAAGCAGAGCTGTTGTGATGGAATGCCAGTTTGGTCCACGGAGGAAGGGTGTTCAACCTAAAAAAGGGTCTGAGCAAGAAACAAATCAAAACATCCTCTACAAAGCAACCTGCCCTGCCAGGTACACAACCTTCAGTTGAAGCACAACAGATTTTTTTCTGTGTACATTATGACACAATAATATTTGACCATTTTCAGAATATATATCAAAAAAGTACGAAAATTCTTGGAGTACAAGGTTCCAACAGATCCCAAAGTGGACAAGAAGGTAGTGCGGCAAGAGCAGGAGAAAGCCTTCTTCAACCTCAAGAAGACTTTATGGGATGTTGGAGGCGTTGAAAGGTATAAACATCTTGCTAGCACAGTTAAAAAAAAATCCATGACATGACTTACTGCAGGGTTCACTTCACACGTTTACATTCGTGACAGGTATTACATCCAGCTCCCCACAGAGAAAGCCCACCTGTACCACGACGTGGACACTGCAAACCTGCCTCCACTTCCAGAGCAGATCTGCTTCGCAGAGGAACAACAAAATGAAGAGGAAGAGACAGAGGAGCTGGATGTCCTGATGGAAGATGGGACACCCCTACCCTCTCGACTACACCCGCTCGTAGCAGAGAAGATCTGTGAGTTGGTGGCACAAGGTCATAATGAAGTTTACACTGTCCGCAAGCAGCTCAGGTATGACTCAGATGCTTTCAAATCTCCTTGCTTTCATTTGCTGAAAAACTATTTACTGTTGCTTTGTGAACACCCTGGCAGGAGGTTTGTGGAACGTGAGATGTTCAAATCGGAGGAAGTGCCTGAGAGACACAATCTGTGTTACTTTCCCACTGTCATTGACATCAAGAACCACATCCACGAGGCTCAGAAAGCTCTTCAGATGACTACGGGACCACTGGCTACCTCAGACACAGAAGTGTGGATTTTTATTGGAAAATATATTCCAATAAAAATAAAAATAAAAATATGCTTGATAAGCACAAATATGCAAGCTATTTTCTGTAGTAAGCCTTCATTTGTGTGTGTGTGTGTTTTTTGCAGTGGAAAGCAGAGGCTAATAACTTGCTTCCGGAGACTTTGACTCCTGCTACTGTGGGCGGTAAATTACTGTTGAAATGTTGTTTAAAATATGAGCTACTTTATTAAAACAAATGTTTCATGTGTTATGGCTGGAATGCATTACAGAACTTTTTACAGAATTTTGCCCCAATTTGCAATCTGGAGGACTGTCGTTTAGTGTATGATGCCCAGTAACCATTTACAAAGTCAGCAAGTGTGTGATACCTAGAGTGCATTTGTGTACTGTATTCCAGCCTTAAACATTTTGGAATCATTCAATACAGTATAAGAGAGTGGAGGAGAGTCTTGCTTCAAAAAGAAAGCACCAAACTGTCAAAGTATAACAATTGTTTACCCTGCCACACTATCTAGTGTACTGCTGTTATATTGACAGTATCCTCTCAGAAGGAAGGGCTCCTGGAAGGAAGTGATACTCTTTCTCCAGAGGCTGTGCAGCTCTTCAGCTCTCTCACCTCACTGCAGCCCAGGATCTTTGCACATCTCCAGGTGACCATGTCCTGAACTGATATAAGAATTGCACAGTTTTAATATATTAACTTACTTCAAAAATACATTAAAAATGCTATTCAAACATAATAAGGTGTTTATATCTCTTTAATGACGAGCATGTTTTTTAGTGTTGAATTAAAATGGAAAAATTCATTTGGGGAGCATAAATTCATGTTTCAAGATGATTAACTGAGCTGATAACATAATGAAGAAAAAAGTCATTAAAATAATTAAATACTTAAGAAAAAATGTTTATGCAATTTGGCATACTTTTTTATTATTATTTCTTAGAACAATGTTTAACCAAAGCTGCTTCACTGCTAAAATAAAATTTCCATTGTTGCTATTTTAAATTATTATGGTGACAACCAGGGAAAAAAGCAATTGCTCATTAGTTAGAGTAACTCATTAGCCACTTTTTTTCTACTATAAAACAGTAATGCAAGATTCTCCTTTCTGTCAAACATGTTTTATTGGACGGTCCCGCTTTTAATGTATGTAGAAAACTCTTTTATGAACTGAACTCACTTAAAGAGTTTAGTATAATTCTGCCAGAAAAAGTTTTAGAATTTTTATCATATGTTAATGTAAAAAATCTTGTGTAATATAACTTGTTTGTTTGTTGGTTTTTATTGTATTTGTTATACTTGTATTTTTTGAATCGTTTTTGCCATGAAAAGATGCTGACATAGCATTAAATAAAAATATACTACTACTACTCCTCTATAAAACATGAGTGTGTATTTGCAGATATTTCTGTTCTTGTTTCTTGAAATATATATTCTTAACAAAAACTGCTTCACTACTTATTAATACTTGACAAACTTTTGTCCGCCAAATTAAAGACCAACATACAAATAAACAGCATAAAACAGGAAATGCTTTCATAGAGAGGATCCCTGAAAACCGTCGTGACTGTGCATCAGGGTCAAATGATCAAATGTCATGTGGTAAAACTCTCCAAAACTATTAGATCATTAGACTCTTCTCTCTTGTCTGACAGGCAATCCAGCTACAGCCTGCCTTGTGTCCAGTGGAAGAAACTGCTCAACCTACAGCAGCACCACCAGAAGCCCAAGAGCTGTCCAGCCCTGCGCCCCCACAGCCTGTCCTGCTGAGTCCGTCCCACTTCCTGCAATCGAGTCCCAGTGCTGGTGAAAGCGTAACTGTGTGTGAAGGCATGAGTCAGCTGGTGAGCGTGGCCTCGGCCGCTGAAGGTGGCATCACACAAATCCTGTTGGAGGATGGACAGGCTATTCCTGTCCAGATTGTAGACCCTGCAAGCATAAGTGAGTTCATGGGAGCATAGAAATTATAATAATATCTTTTTAATTTTTATTGGTTCCCATGTTTATCTGATTCTAATCAGGAAAACAACAGGTAAATATATTGTTGTTTCTTATTGTTTAGCTTTGACTCCCTCAGCGGACGAAACTCCAGTAAAATAGGACGGTGGATGTGTCAGTGGATGTGTGAGCAGAGTCAGAGGCTGGAAACACAACAGTGGGAAAAGAAAACAACATTCTGAGCTCTTTGATGACTGGAGGATTCATTCATTGTATCATATACAGTATTATGTGAACACGGACTTGTATGCAATATTGATATGTAGTATTATTATTTTTTCCCCATATATTATAATTTCCCATTATTGCTATTTTAATTTATTATGGTGACAACAAGAGAAAAAAGCAATTTCTCATTAAAAGTCTAACTGAATAAATGAGACCAGAATTCAATATGTAAAGGTTAATGTCTTTTGTTTCAGGAGACATTTGTTTATTCACACAAACTATGGCACTTTTTCACAACATTTTTTTTTCTGCAGGTATTCTCTTTTTGAATAGAAGCTTAATGAATCCTTTTAATGGAGAGCCAGTTAATTTGTAGTATTATTTAAATGTAATAGGTGTCACCTTGGTCAAAGTCGAAAATGCAGCTCCCACCATCTGTCAAGCAAACAAAGAAGCAAAACATGTGAAAGCTTATGTTTATTATTTTGTTACAGCAAGGAAAAATCTTATTTAGGTCTTTTATTCTGCAACTTCCGCTTTAGCCAGCGTCGGTGTTGGTGATTAGCGTATAGTACATTTAAACCACTTTGCGCACTTTTATTTTTGTCCCAGACAGATTAGAAAAAATATATATGTATTTATGTTATTCATCAGGATTGAAGGCACGAATTGAAGGAGGGAGCACATTCGTGTCTATCAAGCATTCATCTGGAGCAACTTTTATTTAAAATAGATAAGTTAGGCTGTTCTAAATAGACTGGGGAAGTGTTCCCCATGCAGCCAAATGTACTTTACTTTTTCCTGGTATCAGAAGCCAGCAGTCCCTTCTCTAGGAGCGTAACGTTAAGATGTTGCAGCAAAAATAAGCTGGAAGGTAACTTCAAGCGCTCTCTCTCTCACAAAAAAGGGATTTTGATGGAGATTTATGATTTTTCCACACGCTTTCCTTTACCGAGGCAGTGATAGGTGAAACGAGGCCTATTCAAAATAAAGTCGAAACACATACGCTGGCGACACCTGTTGGTCAAAATTGTGTAAATGTAACGAAAGCTCGGTCCAAATCTGCATGAAGACAACTTTTAAAAACCAATTGCAATATTTGAGGCGATGAATGTTACGGTTAGCCATTATTATGTTTTTTTATTTATTTTGTCAGCATAGACTAGATACTTTTCAATTGAGAATCTTAGTAAAGGCATCTACCAGCAGTGACTGACCTCTGGGTTAAAGCAGGTGAAGATGGTACGGTGGCTCATGTCATAGCACTGCAGAGAAGAGACAGATGAATTTCTTTACATTTAGCAGTCTTTATTATTATCTGTCACATAATGAAGCAGGTGTTAATTATGAATTGTGCTATTATGCAACTTTTGTGTTAATGTTTCCACACTATTTTTATTAACTTATGAAGAATGTTTGCACATATTTTTCCACTTACAGATATTTTAGGTCTTTTAACCCTTGTCGGGCACAGGCTTTTCACATCTGAAACATATTCATTCCATTCAGTCAAAAGATGAACTCTTTGGTACCTGCTTGTCTTTTTACTCTCTAGATGCTGATGCTGTGCATGTTGTGATCTTTCATATTCTACTATAGATTGAAATTAACTCCAAAATATGAGCATATACTGTACCTGAACAAATCTGTCATCTTGTTTATGTGACGAAAAATACAGTAGAGGGCGCTGCTCACTCTATGCCAGTGGTTCTCAAACGTCGTTGACCCTCATTTGACTCCCAATCTTTGTCCACAACAATATTTGAATGAATTTTAGTGCTTGGCATATGTAGAAAAATCTCTTAATGTACTCTTAATGAAAATGCCCATGGTGTTTTAATATTTATTAATTGACATTACTTTTTCAGGTCTAGAATTCAGAAGTGCTAATATGTTGAGATGCCAGAGTTAGATATCTGAGAATATGAGCAATCCAGCAGTTTAACTCACATTGATTCACATGTGACACAGATTGTTCACCTACTGAAGAAAATGGCACATAACTGAAACACTAGTTGCGAGAATTTACTGAATGAACCCAAATGAAGGAATTACAGCACATCTTTGAGTGTGTCCTCAGATGTGGGTTCAGCCAAGCCAAGCAGCTTCAACAGGGTGAAATAGGAGAAAATCCAGGGCCGAGCGATATCATGTGTCTGCTCCAGCCCTTCAGCCTCCACAAAAAGACCCCTGTGAAACTTTAAGTGCTACTCCAGTGCTGCCCTCTGCCTGTCATAGAGAGAAATACACTAGACTTCACAAAAGGGTTCCTGCACAGTTAAAAATACCTATATTATGTTTCAGTGTTAAAATTGTAAAACTTCCAAACTGTGTTTTTGTCTTAGCCTACAGTAAATCACCTTTACCCTAAATCACTAGGTAATCCTAGATTACTTACTTTCATCATTACTTTGCCAAAAGTTACATAGTGTAGCTGTAATGTTCTCACATGTAGGAACCCTATGAACGAGAGCTGAGATGTCTGCTGCAGCTGTGACATACCTGGCAAACAGTTCCGCCTGCAGCCTGGCCTCTTCTTCAGCGTGCATCGCTGCTTCCTCCTCTCCTCCTCCTGCTCCTGCTGTCTGAAGGTACTCCAGTCTCTCAGCCTCCTCCATCTCTGACAGCTTCCTGAGCTCCTCCTCCTTCCGAGCTTCCTCTTCCAAACGCTGACGTTCCAGTTGGGCTGAAAATGAGGACATTCATTCATTCATTTGTTCACTTATTCATGAAGCAGGATATTTACATTTTAATGTTGCATGATGTATACTGATCTGTGTGGTCGATGCAATGCTGCATAGACTGTTGGGTAATAGTCTGCGGGCTTGGCATCAAAGCCTCACACTGGCTTTAAAGCCCTTGTGAGCACCCTCTTAAATCATAAAATGACCAGTTGAACTGCCTTCGGTTTTACTGATTTCATGGACACGTGCAAGTGAAGGACACAAGACCGCAAGTCTGTCAAGTGTGCCATTTGGGACCGTACTGTGGTCAGTATCGCTATTATCAAGGCTGAAATCCAGACCATGGCCACATTACAGCACAAATGTTTAAATCAGTTGCTGTGTATTAAATCAGCAGTAGTGGGTAAACTTGTGCAGATAGTAAGATATCTGCTCTGTTTCCAAAACCTAGTGAGGCGCATACATACGCAGCAGGGCTCACATCTTCGAAGGCATCTGTCTATGTAGGGAGTAGGCAGTTTGCTAGGGTTTGGAACATAGTCATTATCTTGCTTCAGATCCTGTAGTATGTTCTTCTCACGGTAGTCATACAAAAGCAGAATTCAGTCCAAGAGATATCAAGACTGTCATGTCATAAGGGCCTCGACCAATCAGAAATCATGACTGTACAGGTATTTACCAGCCTGTCGTTTTTCCTCTTCCTGTCTTTCTCTCTGGAGCCTTTCCAGCAGCCTTCTCTTCTCCTCGTGTCGTCTTCTTTCTCTGCCCGCTCTCTCCTCTGTCTCTCTATCTCCTCTTCCTGCCTTCTTTGTCTCTCATCTTCTTCTCTAATCTTCCGTAACCTGCATATGTGACAGTGATAGTTTCTTGCCAATGTCTGCAGGATATAGTGTATTTCGTTACAGTATTTGTTTCCAAAGAGCAGTGACACGTTGTACCTCGCTTCCTCTGCTTTCCTCCTCTGTTCTTCTTCCAGTTCCAGCCTCATCCTCTCTTCTGTCGCCTCTTTTTCTTGCTGTCTCTTCTTTTCCTCCTCTCTCCCCCTCCGTTTCTTCTCCACCTCCAGACGACGGCGCTCGACCCTTTCAGCCAGCGCTGCAGCTTTTTTGTCTGTTTGGTTAGTTGGAACCTTGTTGCTTTTAACCTAATAGTAAAATCAGTTTAACATATATGGTATGGTAACATATGAATATGACAGTAACATGACAGGTGATTGTTTTAGCAATCTTTATCATTACTTAAGCACATGTGAACAAGAGTGTTGATATTCAAATTAACAGCGGGACATGACTTGATAGTCCGTCAGTCTTCCTACATCCTCAAACTGCTTAAATATTTCTATGGATAATATGTATATTTTACCAATTAGTTATTTACCTATGGTTTATATATAGGCTATGTAATCAACACATTTAAATCAAAAGTTATATATCTGTTGTTTTTTATACGAGTATGTCATTCGCAGTGTTTCAAGGGATTGTTTTTTTCCCTTGTTAAAGCCGGAAAGTACAAAAAGTAAAAGTCTTTTTGTCTGATTTTGAAATTTTTGTATTGTTGTGATCCAGCTCGTAGCTGGTTGGTTTGGTTTATAGCTTATAATTTTTAAATGAAGACTTTTACATTTTTTTTTTTTTTAATCCATATGGGGAAAAAGTTTTTGCAAACCAAGGCTGCTGAAAAAGTGAGCTGACACCGAGTAACTTGCTGTCTAGACAAAACATTTCCTTATTTCTAAAGACATAATTTCTACTATGTCTACATTTGCTACATAAATGAAAATAGCTGCAAACAAAGTAAAAGAAAAATCATCAGCTGCAGCTCTGTGCAACAAACATTAGTGGTGTTTTGTTCCTGGATGAGTCAGTGTTATTGAATGAATCGCTTTAGTGAACAATTCAAATACTCACTTATTTCGTTCCAGAATGAATCAGTATGCTTAAATCTTTGAATTAATGGTTTGTTGACTTATTTATAGACAGTCACTTCTGACATAACAATGACACGGTAAAATCCTCACCACTAATCCACTGACAGTCTGACTGATTCAAACATATAGTATGTGTATTCAAATGAATAGCTAGCTGTTAAATGAGAAATACTCACGTCATTGCCTGGCTCAGATGTAGTGGGGTCTGAGGCAGAAGGGAGTGCTTACTGAGGAGGCAGGTGGGCTGGGCTGCACGGGCCGTAGTGGGACATCGTCCCCATCGAGCTGGTTCTGATGGAGCTCTGTGAGAGTCTGTGAATGCTGGCATCTGAACGAGCTGTAATGAGTGAGCGCTGCGATCTGTATAAGTGCTGTAAACTGATCTGGGAGAGACTTCGTGTGCTTCATATGTGTCTGTACTCTCTGAGTCTGTACTCTCTGAGTCTGTATCAGCATCCATGTCATCGTCGGAGTCAATATAGGTGTGTTCTGGCGTGTTCTCTGTGTTTTCTAGTCGTGAGTCGTCACCTCTCTCTTAAGGGTCATCAGTCTCTCAGGCTCATCCACTGGATTTGCCATCCATTCAGCGTCCTGTGGCTGAG